GCAGTATGTGTGTGTGTCCCGCCCCCCTTGTCCATGTTCCCCGTCTCTGTGTAGTGCGTGTCTTGCCAGTAGCAGCAGCAGTGTGTGCAGCACGGCAGTGCGTCGTGGTTTCTTGCGTGCGTGTAGTTTGTTGCCCGAAAAAAAAACAAAAATGACGCCTCCCGGGGATGCGTCCATGTGACATATATATTTGCACAAACGGTGTGCTATCTCGAGACACCGACCACGGATTGCAAAGGTAGCGGTTGGGACAGCTCGGGCAAAATGTTACTTGTTGTGCGCATGTTTTAGTTTGCAATTTGGTGCCGAGATGGTGAAATGGGCTCGAGTCTGCTGGGTTATTTAGGGCGCGCAGACAGACAGACCCCAGACAGCCATTGCGAATTTTTCACGCCCCTGAGCATGAAAATTATGCTTTTTCTCGTGCGCACAGACTCCACGCACGATCCCTCTAAACAGCTTTTTTTTTGCAAAACAAAAAGCGTACCCCTATACGGGCCACTCTTTTCGCAAAAAAAAAACTATTGAAAAGAAGAAAAAAGCCCTGGTGTTTACCCCCTCCTGTGTGACCCTCGATGGTTGTAGTTGTACGAAAAAATACACCGAAAAGTGTAGTACTCGTCTCCCCACAAAAAATGGGGGGACTGTCGCCATAAATAATATGACGAAAACACACACACACATGTTGTCCACTCACCGGGTCCCAGTTCATGGCAGATAGAAGTGTCTTGCGTTTTCAACCGCCCTAAGACTGGCGTCTTTTCATTGGTCAGCCAGTTAGCGTGGTCGATGCTAACAATAAAGACACAACACACACAGAAGCTCCCACGGTATTTTGAATACAACATCTCGAGAGGATGGCAGTCGTTCAGTTAGAGGAGCACAATACACATGTTCCGTGTTGAAGGTGTACATGCATGACTCGCGGCACATTACTACCTATAGAGACACATCGACCACCGAGAGCACTGCAGTGCAGGCGGGGCGATCGGGGGATTCCTGCACATAAATCGCGACATGCCAATCCAGCGGCCCGCAGGAGAGAAGCACGGCAGTGCAAGGTGCAAGGGTTGAACATGAGACAGCGTACATACGTAGGAGAGGAAGGCCTACTTCCAGCAGTTACGGTTTCGCCCCTTTCCATTTAGGAAAGACCTGGCAAGTTCGCTGCCCTGTGCAAGAGAACATGGACGCCGCTTCTGTTACCGACACTTCATTTGCACCGGGGGAAACAGGAGTTGGCGCAAGGTTACGCAGATATCGGACAAATCCACCAAGAAAGTAAACCGGGTGCAGCTGCTGCTGCCTAGCGTGGCATGGATTTTTGGATACCCCCCAAGTATTTCGGCCGTCAACAAGTATTTTAGAGTGAACTGAACTGATCTTCTTGTGCCATGATTGGGGTTGTTGGATACAAACAAGGCTGACTTTTGGGCGAGGCTATGCTACCACCCTCCACATCGACAAGGGGCGCCGCACAAGCAGTTTCAATCGTGGGGCAGAACAATATGTCTGCCGCGCTGTGCATATGGTGTGCAAGCGATTGGGTATTTTGCCGAAAAGAAAACCGGCTCTTGCCAAGTTTCCCCATCCTCAGTTAGTGCCATTCAAAAACCAATCACGCCCTCTGCTTCTGGGCGACAAGAGCGCCATCAAACCCAAGCTCAACCGTGCGCCCTGCATGCCAACAAGAGGCCCGCGCTCGATCTTCCACTGCGGCAACGGCGTTGAGAGATGCCATGTTTGATATGATCGTTGCTGCCGATTACTGCTCTTTTGCGGGGGGGTCTGTTGATGTTGCAATCAGCACAGCGGTTCTTTGTATTATGCATGATGTCGTTGATGTGTGTGCATTGGTTGGTTGCATCATTCTAGGGGGGAGATTTCGCCCCAGTGTGACAGGCGCGAGTCGAGAGGACCGCAACAGGTGCCCTCACTGCTGTGGTGCACCTATCCGCGGTGCGGATCGACAGAGTATCCACAGATCATGGGGGTGTTCTGGAATGGGGCAAATCTGCTGTAAACTTCAGCTACCAAAAATGGATGGATGCATGTACGTTTTCTCGCGACAAACTCGGGCTGGACGCTTGGCGATGCCGGAAACGGATGTAAAGGCCCACTGACCTAGAGGATATGCGGCATACCTCCGGTTGCTAGCACCTCGAAACTCCATGGAAAAAGAACTCGTCTTCCATATCCAGCAACAAAAGTCGTTTCGAGAAAGCGGTGAGCTTCCCGAGAGCGAGAGCAACAACACGCATGTTGAAGCAGACGCACTGGGAGACGAAAAAGCGTGGGCTATGCCTGCGGGAGTGCGCGAAAGCCGTGCCCGAAAGAAAAAGAAAGCCCTAGAGCTCTACGCTCACCTCCACAAGGTTGCTTCGCTGGGCGTGTGTAGTACTCGTTGTTCTACAGTGTGTTGGCTCGCGAGTGTGCCTGCGCGGGCTCTATGCGGGGGACTTCGGGCTGCGACTTGTATGCGGTGAACATTCGGTGTATCGTTGATTCCACGGAGACCCTCGTCGCCTGCTGAGCGCGGCAGTGGTGGTCTTCTGTCTTGCTGTGCTGGTCAGGTCACCCGCTTAAACACCATCAGCCATGGGTGTGCTAATGTGTGTGGTGATCATGGCCCTGTCGGCGCTTATCGCCCTCTTGGCCGAAGGTGAGAACTGGAATGCCTACTTTTGTTTGACTGCTGCACTCTGTCGTCACAAGAACGTCATTTACCCACCGTGTGCCAACAGCTAACAGGCAGCTCTTTTGCGGCTGTGTGACTCGCTCCTTCCCAAAATGTAACATCAGCACCGGAGATTAGGTAGCACTAGTATCGCCAACTGAAAGACCTGCGCTGGTTTCCCTCCATGCAAGGGCCACGAATCTTGTGGAAACGGGAAACCTACTGCAACCCGTCAATACTTGCACATAGGTTTGGCTCCATGTTACTGCTGTAGTCTAACCCGCTTCTCTTTGCGTACGACGACAACTGCTTCTTATCCAATGACCCTTGTTGCGCATCACACGTATGCATGGTGGGGCTCATCGGTAGGGTGTTTTTCCTTCCTGGTTGGTCTGTCCAATCAGCCTAGAAGATCTAGTTTCTTCTTTGCGTGATTACCATATTCTGCCCCCGCGTGGCTGTGTGGTCAAGTGTGGTCGTCACGTACAGGGCACCATCCCCTTTGTTCCGCAAACTTGTCTTCCGGAACTGCTGTCGACCCGGTGGGTATTGGAAAGCCCTCCTGTCCTATTGAACGTGGTTCATGAAATCGATGCCTTTGATGAAGTTTCAGTAGGCACGCCCTGAGCGTTCCGCAAGCGTGCTGCTGCTGTTGCTGCTGTTGCTGCTACTGCTACGGCTGCTGCTGCGGTGTTCCTTGAGATAACCGTCAATTTCCTTTCTCGCGCGGCCTGCGTCCTGCCTGTTGTGCTGCTCGCTCGGTCCCCCCCCCCCCTCTCGGCGTCTCAGCGTATTCCTGGTACACGGTGTACAGAAAACCCGAGTATCAGAGGCTAAAGCGTCACATCGAGAATCTCGTTAAAGACGGTGAGCGAGTTCGCACGTTTTTGCGTTGCCGGAAGACCTCAACAGCAGTACTGACGTAGCGCCGGTGCCTCGGTCTCGTAAGCCTCCATCGACCCCATTCCCCCACTACCGTCTTCCACACAGCATAACGTCCCGGTGAACAACGGATACCAGTCACCCCACGGAATACCACACGATAATGCTCCAAAGATGTTTCACCGGGGGTGTTTTCTTGTGTGGATTGCGGTATTTTGCTGCTCTCGCGTTGCACTATGTAAATTCTACATGCACGAGGGCTCGATGCGCCCCCAATGCACATGGAGAGGCTGGCGGATAGAACCCATACAGTCCGTAGATGTGGGGATGGCAGAGGCTAACAGAGATTGGATGGCGAGAAACATGTGGAGCATTGTTTGTGAACAGGGGACCGAGGATAAATCGGTTGGTGATACGGAGCGATTTGTCGTGTAAGAGGCCCCGTGTTCATGTGCTTTTTTTTTATGCCGTGACTGGCCGAAACCGATTCTGGTTTGCGCTCTCAATATGTACACGTGGCGGGATGGGAGAGAAGAGTGAGTGTTTGCGACCCCCGAGATTCATAGAGACACCCCGAGAAATACCACGGCAGGGAACATCCAAGGAGACAAGTAAGTGCGCGATGGACACCGGAGTCAGCTGTTGTGGATGGTGGACGTGAATGTGGGAACAAGCAGGGATGCAACACAGGATCTTTACGGTCCACGAGGAAGAAGAGCAGGGGTATTGACGGTCGATCGTTAGATACAAAGACGTGTTAGACTAAACAGAAAGCCTTTTTCGATACCCCGTGCCGGAGGGTGAAGAGAATATCACAGCTCTTACTGTGTTACGAATTTGATTCCCCGCCCCCGCTACCTGCTCCTCGTTGCCCCCCTTTTTTCTCCGCGGCCAAACGAGATCGGAAAGGAATAAAAAGCTGAAAATAGTTGTCATTTTCACGAATTTTCTCTCTTCGTACGAAAGGTGAACCCACGCCCACACGCCGAAAAACACCCCCACCAATATTCGCGCATCATGGCCCTTCTATCCCGCTTGCTGATACCTGTATTCTCGATCAGCAGCAACAACAACACCGCGAATATCAACACCCCTACAAACAACAACGCCTTTTAACTCTGTGAAAGCGCAGTCGAGAAAAAGAAGGCGGAGCCGGTAGGTGGCAGCGTCGAAAAGAAGGTTAAGAACCTGAAGGCGCTCAGCCGGCTGGAGAAGGACCTCGCGGAAGCCACCAAGGACTTGCAAGCCCTGACGATGTCCAACAAGTTGGTGGTAGCTGTCACCCTCATGGTCGTCATGATCGCGATTAACAAGAGGTATGTGCCGCTTTGTGGCAGCACCAGTCGACAGCGTGTCCTGGTCACCCTCATGGGTAGTGGTGGCCGCCTCGTCCTTTTGTCTTTGTAGCGCATGGCGTGTGCTATGAAGTGCTGGGGGGGGGGGGGGGTTGTTTGGCTTTGCCTTTGTCGTTGACCACCGCAACCCTTCTCAGACAGATCACGGTACCGCAATCCTAAGGAAAGGGACACCACCAACANGGGGGGGGGGGGGTGTTGTTTGGCTTTGCCTTTGTCGTTGACCACCGCAACCCTTCTCAGACAGATCACGGTACCGCAATCCTAAGGAAAGGGACACCACCAACATTCGGGCGCTCTTTACATATCTGCCATTTATACATCAATGGTTTGCCTCGTTTGCGCAAGTGCGTATTCGTGTTGTGCACCCATCCAGTCACCCTCATCCTTGCTCGAGGACTTCCCTCTCTTGTTTGTAGTAGTCACCCCCCAACTACGCGAGTTGTCTTCGGCCTTTCCATATTAGCACGTCTCCAAATCGCCTCTCTCCCCTGCCGTACAAGCGGGTGGTATCTCACTAACATAACAGCTTTAAACATGGCCATGTTTAAGCCCCACTCGGAATTTCCCGGCTGCGGTTCCCTGTACTGGTGTGTCCACCTGCCGTACAAACCTGGTGTTTTCCCTTCCCGCACTACAGTAGTCCTGCAATACGTCTGGCTTTGGTACTCAGGTGTTCGTTGAATAGCGCGTGCTTTGATCCTGTTATCGAAGGGTCATGGCATTCGAAGTGCGCTGGGGGCAGCGGTGGAGAGAGGAGCCTTATCGCCATGTTAATTGGCTTCTCATTGGACGAGGGAGGCGGCCTGTTATACTTTTTTGTCCTTGCTATGTTCCGCCCACCGGTATTCGGCGTCGATCGATCAACGCCTTCATCTGTCTGCAATTTTTTTCGAGGAAGATTCCACGCGTAGCTCTGACCATCTGCACCGCTCCTCTTCTTTTGACTTTAAGGTGCGACAACCAACCCTTCGTGCTGCCTTTTGTTTTTGCCCGCTCCCTCTGTTGTAAAACAAGCCAATTCACTTCGTGAACTCGGCAACCAGAGTACCGTTTTTTTTTTACCTCCGTTTTTTTTTTTGGGCGGTAATCATAATGGTGGTCGAGTAGATCATGTTGTGCGGGGTGGAGAACCCTCACTCCGCGCAAGGGGGATGATCGCACCACGTTGTGTTAAAATGGTCAAGCACCCTCGAGGCAGTTACACAGTGCTTACAACTGTCTCTGGAAGTGAAAGCACCAGAAAGTAAATTAATTCATACGCAGCTGTCATCCGTACGCAAGGAAGTAAGCACAAGATGCCGAACACCCTTAGCAGGATGCAGCGCACCCTTCATGCGACTCGCCGAATATCTCACGGCGCTTCGCGCTTGGTGATGTGAGAGTCTGGTCCTGTGAGAACCCGGCGTGCCCCGTTCCGGCTTTGTAGGGATGCGAGGTCAATGGTCTCACGACTACGGCATGCACGACTATGAGTACACCCCCCACCCCCTCTGTGGCAACGTGCTCGTGTCGTGTACCCAGTTTCGCCGGCATCGTTGTGGCGAAGCTACCGTTCGTGCCCATCTCGCTGGTCCAAAAGATCAGCCACAGGGCGCTCGAGGGAGAAGACCCGACGGATTGCTCAGTGGTGAGGATTCTGCTGCTTGTTTCGCTGCTGCCGAGTGTTTGGCTGATACTGTTGGTGGTGGTGGTGCTATGCGGCAGAGTTGTGTGTGACGGGGTGTAGACTACTCACGGAATTGCTGCGACCACAAAAGTCAAGAGTACCGACCGCGGAAGCGGATGCATTCCCAGGGAGCTTTTCCCAGCCAAATGATACGAAGAGCATGACACAGCAACGAGGCTTGAGGGTTGTGTAATCGGAAACTCTGTCTTGTTTAAATCATCCGGTTCCCGTGCGGTGTTTATACCATCTCTTGAGAGTTTCCGGTCGGGTTTGTTTGCGTGTGGTCCCAGAGATTGGTCTATAAAACGGGTGGCAGCACTGCCTTCTGCCCCGTGGCAAAGGCACGATCGTCACTGCAGCAATGCGCGACAATAAGTATGGATGTTTTTTGGTGCCCACCGCGCGGTGGCTGTTTTTGCTTTATACATGCGTCGGACGTTTCGATGTACTCGTAAGCGGCACAGCTTGCAGCGGTACGCCATTTTTTTTTATTTTGGCTCTTGACCTTTTCGGGCGTTGCGTGCTGTGTCGCTGGGCTGGTGTTTATACGCTCGGCAGGCGTTTATTTTCGCACTGTGCCAGGCCGGGGTGAAGGGGAACATCGTCAAGCTCGTTGGGGTGGGCCACCCGAAGGTAAGCGCGCGCGCAGCCAGCGGGGGGGTGTCGGCGATCGCAGCAAGATCGCCACCAGCATGTTTCCGGGATTTTGTAGGCACTCGATCGAACCCTCGTCTGAGCAGATATATGAGAACGTCGCGCGTTATGCCGAAGAACGAAACCGTTCCAATCTCGCTTGACAAATGACGATACTTAGGTTACATGATTGGCGAGCGACACGATGGCTTAGCCATGTAGAGCTCACAGACGACAGTTCCGGTGGTGTTCAAACTTGTAATTGAGTATTTGTAACGACGTGGTTACCCGCAGGTAAAAAATCTTCGCGGACTCCCTCCTCCCCCCCCTCCTCTCTCCCTTTCTTCGCTCCCTCTCTCCCCAAAAATTGTTGAGGTGTGTTTGCCTAGTAAGGTTTGGCACCGTCCTTGTTTTCATGTAGGAGCCGCACGCATTGGTTACTGCACCCCTCGTCGCCCTCGTGCCTCAATAAACCCCCCCCGCGCCCGTTTGCCATCGAGGTTGGGTTTTCGTCGCTTGGCAACGACGTTGTAAAACAAGCCAAGTCACTTCGTGAACTCAGCAACCAGGGTACCGTTTGTTTTTTACCTCCGTTTTTTTNCAGTGCTTACAACTGTCTCAGGAAGTGAAAGCACCAGAAAATATATGAAGTCATATGCAGCTGTCATCCGTACGCAAGGAATTAAGCACAAGAT